TTAGTAAAAAAAAAGTCAGCCCCTGCAGCATCCATAACAGCAGACGCAGGTGTTTTTACCTCCCGTTCTTTCTGCATGAAGTGATTTGGTTGCAGTTTTTGGTTTTAATTTTGCTTTGGAGCTGCACTGAGCGACAACCCCAGCCCTGTTTATGATGTGGTCAGAAATTTCTAAGCCTTCAAATTGCCCAGCCAGGGCTTGTACTCCTGCCTCAGCCTCTGGCAGTGCTGGGATCTCAGGTGCACACCACCCCACCACCTCGCCAGTCAGAGGAAGCATCTGGGGTGTGACACCTGGCCCAGACAGAGGGGCCCACAGGCCAGGCGGTTTATCTGGAGACTTCTTTGCAAAACAAGACCACCCTTGCTCCCTGGGCCCCCAGCCCTGTCCCTCTGTGGGTGGAAGGTGCTGGCGCCTCACCCCCTCTGTGCCTGGCTTTGAGCTTTTGCACATAAATAAACCTGCGTGCTTACCCTGTGAATCTCTGCAATGCAGATTACAGTTATATAGACATTCGGGGGCAGAGAATAATGACCATCTTGTACCCTGTGCCTTGTGGGTGTGCAGAGGGCTGTCATTCCAGGTCACGTCTTGCTCTCAGGACTTCGAGGCCAGCCCTCTTCCCTCAGTTTCCCTCCTCATTGTCCTCTCTCACCGCCCACCTTGAGCACACCCCCAGCACACACTCAAAGTGCCCTGTCCACCCCAACCTGCCCCTGCCGCGCCCTCCACCTGCACTTTTTCCCTGTATTTTTTTGGACACAGCATCTCACTGTGGGGTTCAGGCTGGCCCGACCTCTTGGCAACCCTCTTGCCTCAGCCTCCTGAGTGCCAGTGCCTCAGTATTTTCTACTCCACTTTGAGGGCCTTGACAATGCTGCTCAAAGCTGGGGACTTCGTCCAAATCACCAAAGGCCAACTCAGAGATGGACACAATGGTTGTGGCGTGAGACTTGGGCTCTGGTAATTTCTAGAAGTTTCCCTGGATGATTCTGATGCACATAGTCTGTCCAGGCAGCTGAGCACCACTGTTCTCCGTGGGATTCAGATGCCGCCTCCTCCAGGAAGCCATGAGAAATGCATTTCTCCCGTTTGGGATCCCGGTTCCCTTGCGCGGGTTTGGTGAAGCACACTGGATTTACCGTTAGATGGAAGCTGCCAGCCTCCCTAAGATTGCAGGGGGAAACGCCCTTACCTTAAAGGGAACCCTTCTGGGTTCCTGGCCTTCAGGCTTTCCTGCGAGGCTATTTATAGCTCAGGAAGTTGCAGATAACAGATGTTAATGCTCACCAGTCCCTAGCCTCCCCTCCCCCTCAGGTGGAAAAACCAGTTTTGCCTCTAATTACATATTCCTTTCGCTATAAACCTACTACTGCTTCTCTTTTGAGCTGGTCATTAGCATCTGTCTGGTTAATAGTAGAATAAAATCTGCACTTAGACATAGCGTTTCTATGTCTGTGTGCGTCATGATGTTACCCTTCTGGAGAATTTACTGCCTAATTACCGCCCAGGCTTCCATGCTGCACTCCTACGCAGCTGTCCTTCCCCCATAAGCACAAAGGGCTCTACCAGATCGTCGGCTGAAACTTTTACTGAGTGCCTGTGAAAAATTTTCTTTAGTGACACCCTTGAAAAATCATAGAAAAAAAATGGGAGAAAAAATGGAATCATCAAGTTGTACTTACTCCTCATTCTACAGCCAGCATAGAAAAGGATTTAAAAAGTTAGCGGGATGTGGTGGCACAGGCCTATAATCCTAGCATTTGGGAGGCTGAGGCTGGAGGATCACTGTGAGTTTGAGGCCACTTTACCTACATAGTGAGTTCAAGGCCAGCCTGCGTTACATACTGAGACCCTGTCTCAAAAATTCAACTTCCTGGCAGCAGCATCCCTGGCCCTGGCTGGGCTCCCGATGCTCGGGTTTCTTAGAGTGCAGTGCCTTTCCCATTCCGACCCAGGCCATTGATTTGGACTGGAAAGCACCTGGGGGGTTGCCAGCTGCCCCAGGGTGGAAAGGGTCTGCCTGGGTACGAATTCAGCTCAGGTTACTTTTGCAAGAGGTGGGGGTGCACCGGGGTGTTTGATGTCCCAGGGGAACCTGGAGTCTGAAGGTTAGTAGCTGGGCGGCCCTGGGCAGGCCTTGAACTTTGCTGCGGTCTCCCTGGTGATGTGGTGGCCAGGGGCAAACCGACCGGAGGAAGCTCAACGTGTAACAGGCTGCAAGCATCCCTACTTCTCTAGCATCACAAGTGCAAAGTGGTAACGGCCCTGGCTCACCCAGGTTCGCCAGTGCCTGAGTCCTAAGGGCTCAACAAACAATGGCGGTTACCGTTTCACTTATTATTTAAAGAGCCCTAGGACCCCCCCCCCAGGAGAGAAGCCTGAGGCCCGGGTCACCTGCACCCTCGGGCACCATGCGCTTCTGAGATGACAGTGGGAGGCACCCTGCTGTCTGTCACCTGGCTGCCTCACTAAGTGATCACTTCCATCCTGTCTTTGATGGAGGAGTGACCTGAGCTTTTGAAGAACCTATGGCAGGACGTGGTGATGCACCCGGTAACTCCAGCACTCTGGGAGACTGAGGCAGGTTTGAGCCCCATCAGAGTAATCTAGCAGGATCCTGTCTCAAAATAAAATAAACTTGGGAGAAATCCTGGGTTCAATCCTAGGACCTCAAGCCCAGCGCACAATAGGCCACCAACAGTCAGTCCTTCCTCCTAGCCAGTCTCCACCAGGGCTCTCAAACCCAGAAGAAAGGAAACCGGTCCGGTTCACAACCTGGCCACACTCACTTCCGGGCCTCTGCCCGCCGGGGCTGCTCTGGAATCAGTGCGGAGACCACATCCTGGGCTGGTCCCCCACCCCGGAAGCATCTGGGAGAGAAATGCCAATAGGGCACAGCAAGAAGGGCCTCAAGACCCACCCCACCACGCCAGTCCGGTGCCCTGCGCACACCTTTGCTCCCTAGAGAGCGGGAAACTGAGGCCCGAAGGGTGGTGTGCCAGGGCGCGGGCTGGGGGTGCAGCCGAGGCCAGGGCTGGAGCCTGCTCTGCAGTGCGGCCGTCTGCTGTGGGCACCGAGCCAGCACCGCAGCAACCGCCCCAGCGCCACGGGCCTCGGGAGCCCAGCCCGACCCCCACCCTGGGGTGGCGCCTCCTTTGCAGGCTCGTACTCTGTCCCGGCCACAGCTGTCCCTCACCCAGAAACGCAGTGATGCTCTGTGTCCCAGCGGAAGCTGCTGGGAACAAAGGGCAGAAATCGAAGCAGAATGAGTGACCCGGACAGCTGCAGAGGGGGGCGGCGGCCTAGCCTCCCTCCCCCACCGGCCCCACCCGATTCCCAGAATCCTAATCTCCGGACAGTGCAGGGCACCAGCACGGGAACTAGCGTCCACTTAGCACTTCGCTGTGGGTATATGGGACCAGAGACACATGGGGTTTGTCCAAGGACCCCAGCTCATCTGGAACTGTACCCCACTTCCCTGCAAGCTCTGGCCTCTACTCTCAAGGCCAGCTACAGGTTGGGGTCCCCAGGGCCTGGCAAACACTCTGAAGGGCCAACCATGTGCGGGATCCCCTCCCCCTACTGAGGCCTGAATGGGGTGAGGGGAGCGGGGCGTGGAGGCCACACTTTTTCTGTGTTTTTTTAAAATCTTGAGGCAGGGTTTCCCTGAGTCGCTGGACTTGAACTTTCAATCCACCCTCCTGCCCCAAAGCCCCAGAGTGCTGGGACCACAGGTGTGCACCCCCGCCCCTAACAAGCAGCACATCGGTATGAGGAGAGGAAATGCGGGTGGGGCGCGGGAAAGGAAAAACAGATTTTGGGAAAACAGCCCTCACACAAGCCCAAGCTATATGTCCAAATTTGGACTTGTCAGGAAGACCCACCAGGGTTTACACAAAAGCGGGGAGGAGGAGGCCCAGGGAGGAGGCCTGGGGGGACCAGACTCCCTGCAGGGCTCTTAGTCCCCTTGCGGTCCCCTTCCAGGGCCTTATGAGCCTTGGCCTAGGAATTCCACCCTGCGATCCAGAGTCTCACGCCTGTAATGGGTCCTGGCAGCTTACAGGGCCACTGTTTCGTCCGAGGGGGGCCCGGTTCACCGCTCTGGACCAGGAAGGAGGCTCAGAGAGGGGATCGGCTCAAGGTCGCAGTGCAAGTTGTTGGAGGAGCTGGGATTTGGGGCAGGATACTTCCCTCCATGCTAGCTAGCTAGCATAGTGGGAGGTCCCTGAGGTCCCCAAACGTCCTCTGGGAAGGCACAGACTGCAGCTGGCACAGCCTGAAAGGGTGGCGCTCTGGGAGTCACAGAGCCCTTGGAAGCTGGGTGTGGTGGCCCACGCCTGTGAGCCCAGCTACTGGGAAGGCTGAGGCAGGAGGATCAAAATTTCAGGATAGCCAGGGCAATTTGGCGTCACTTTGCCTCAAAATAAAATACAGAAGTGGTTGGTGGAGACTTAGCTGTTACGTATGGCCAGTGCAGGGCGAGGTGTGGGGAAACCTGCCGACCTCCTTCACTGCAATCATTGACCTGGGGGAGTGGGGGTGACCCAGCGTGCCAGGAGGAGCCCGGGCAGCTGGACCTCACCTGTCCTCACGCGGACAACCTCCCTCAGCAGCCCGGGCCACACCCTCCGCAGTGCCGGGCTCCCCTCCACCCCGCATCCGCCCGGTCCGCGATGCCCTCGGGTGGCCGTGCCCTGCACCCCGCGAGCCCCACTGCGCGCGCCCTTCCCGGGCCTGCAGGGGTGCGCTCGCCTGCGCCCGGGCGCCTGGCGGGTCCCCGGGGCCCTACGGCCGCAGTCACTCACCACGCAGGCCTCTCGCTGGGCGGCGGACGCAGCTGCGGGTCGGAGCCCGTTAGCCCGGCGGAGCCGCAGGGGCGGGGAGACCGAGCCGGCCACGTGGCGCGCCCCGGCTAATCAGGCCCGCCCGCCTCCCCGCCCGCGCCCCGAGCCAATCAGGCCCGGCCCCCACCCCGCGCCCTGCACCCCCACCCCGCGCCCAGCCGGTCGCCTTTGGAATCTTAGAATGTCACCGCGCCGCGGGGGCGGGGGCGGCTTTCAGCCCCAGACCCGAGATCCGGCGGGCGGGGCAGCGGGTGGGGTGGCCGAGGTGCCCGGCCCTCCGGGGTCCTGACCCCCAGAGCTGTGCACTTTCTCCCCAAATCCCTGCGACTCACCAAAGCTTGGTTGAAAAACAGAACCCTGAACTCTGCCAAAATCGAGGCCAAGCAAGCACCTTCTCTGCCTGATCAGGGTTCACGCCTCAGCAGCCCCTGCGTCACTGGCGCTATTTACCCTCTGTCCAGGGAAGGACAGTCGGGAGGAGACGGACTTGACCAGGGTCGCAGGCTGGGCGGTGGTGGCCTGGGATTCGAACCTGTGCCGGGTGCCTCTGTGGGGCTGCCCTTGCCTGGCTCCCGGGTCTGCGTTGCTGGGGGGCAGGGCTCCGGGGCTGCGCTGAGAAATAACAAATTCTTTGGGGATCCAGAGGGAAGAGAGAATTTTGTCCCCCTCCCCAGGGGCTTTTGGTCCTCCCCTGGGAGGGAGAGATGCATTCCTAGCTCTCGCGGAAGTCCTGGTTTTGTGGAAAGACACTGTCCAGCTTTCACCCTGGGGTTTCCGCCCAGCGGTCAGTTCCGCGGGGCTCCGCGAGCCAGAGGTTTCACAGCGCTGAGGTCCAGGTTGCGCACCGGGAGGCAGGCGCTCGCAGCTTTTGCAAAGCCCGCACAGCCTGCCGAGTGCTGGCCTTGGAGCCGGAAGCTTCTAACAGGGAGACCTGGCTGGAAAAGCTGTCCTCTGGCATCCTGTGGCCCTGGCAAGCCAGGCCCCCAGGTGAGAGAACACACTGGCCCGCGCCCTCAGCAAACAGAGAGGCTTCCGCTGTTTCGGGGAACCTCTGGGGGTGGCGGCGGTGTTGAAACCCTGACGGCCGGGCAGGTGGGTCCCGTCCAGTGTTGGCCTCTGACTGAGTGGCTCCAGCCCCCAGGAGGAGCCAGGCTGGAGGCTGAGCGCGGAGAGGCGAGCCCTGGAGCTGCGTGCTGGGCTTGCTGGGGCGGGGTGGGGGGAGCTGTCTGCGTGGGGACAGGGGAAGTCCAGCTGTCCAGGCTCCTGCGGGCAGCGCTGGGTCGCCCCACCCTGGGGGTCACTGCTTGCGGTGAAGGACAGCGGGGTCCCCCACCTCGCTCTGCACTGGGGGTTGAACCTAGGCCACGCCTGACAGCCGTGCACTCCACCACCAGTCCGCCCTCTAAATCGCAACCAGCAAGAAGGGTGGACCCGCGGGGAGAGCGCAGAGTAACCGTACCTGCATAAAATGCGGTCAGCTGTAGGGTGAAACAGTGGCGGGGGAGGGGGGGCCCAGGAGGGCGGAGGCGGGTCTCCCTGAGTGTTAGGGGCGCGTTCTACCAGCCACGTACCTTTGTAAGCATTTTACTGGCAGTGTCACATTTGGTCCTGGTAGTCCCTGTCATAAACACTCGCTGGGCACGATTTTAACAGAGATCTCTGTCCTGGTGGAGTTCGTGTCCCAGGCAGGGGCCTCCCGGCGTGGGGGGGGGGCACACCCGGATCTGTGGGGAGCGGCAGGGGCAGTTGGGGCAGGAGCAGGCAGAGAGCGGGGAGGGACAGAGGCCGGCTGGTGTCCTGCAGGGACTTTGTCCTTTACTCTGAGTTACTGGGGAGCTGCTGCCTGACAAAGGAGGGAGATGCCTGTGCAAGCGCTGTGCCCCTCTGGTTCCAGACACCGGGGACTAGAAGCCCACACCTCACACCCTAGGCAGGCACCGCCCCGCACTCTCCCTGCCAGCCTGGCAGTGTGTTCGGTCCTGCACCCACGTAAGGAGTGAGCCACCTTGAATAGTTCCCTCCGATGTGGATTCCGCGGTGTGCCCAGGCCGTTTACGCCTGGCCTTTGTTTTCATCTGCTGTCAAAGCTGGCCCACATGGTTGCGTGTGGCAGGACTTCGTTTATTTCTGTGGCTGAGGGATGGTCTGTTGTATAAATACACATTTTATTTACTGAAAAAAAGTTTCTACTTTTGGCTGCTGTGAACTTTTGGGGGAAAAATTGTTTCTGGTTTTCTTTGGTTCTGTAGGACTAAAGTTGGTATGGCCGTACGGTAATTCTACGTTCAATGTTTTTCTTTTTCATTGCTGGGGATAGGAACTAAACCCAGACTCTGTACGTGTCTGACGCCCCACCCCTGGGGGTCACTGCTTGCCATGAAGGAGCACGGCGGTGTCCCCACCTTGCTCTGTGCTGGGGACTGAAGCCTGGCCACACCTGACAGCAGAGTGCTCCACCACCAGCCCTCTTCTGTATTTTATTTTGAGGCAGTCACACTAAATTGCCCAGGCTAGTTTGGCAATTTTGATCCTCCTGCCTCTGACTTCCCAGTAACTGGGACCACAGGCGTGGGCCACCACACTCAGCCTCCAAGGGCTCTAGTAGGTACCCGGGGCAGATGTCACAGAGGCAGTTGGATGAAAGTCTTGAGTTCAGGAGCGGAGGTCCCCAGGGCGAGGAGAACTCAGGGTCAGATCTGCACACTCCAGATACTGTGCTGCTGAGAACTAGGCTTGTACCTGCAGGAGCTGGGAGGAAGCCAGATGGGGAAGGGGGGAAGGTACTCCAGAGAGGGCGTGGCCAGCAGAGCCCAGCGCTGCTCCTAGCTGGGGGGCACTGGGAGCCTGGGCTGGGTCCTGACGCTGCGGGTGAAGGATTCTCTTGCTCTCAGAGCAAAGGCCCAAGAGGAGCTGGCAGGGCAGAAAGACAGCGCATCGAGGGGAGGACTAGGCCTTGCCTCTAGGACAGACATGAGAAAGTCAGTCACCAGAGCACAGGAGGCTGGAGGAGGGAATGCAGGTGTCCCAGAGCCTGGCTCTCTAGGAAGCAGCCAGCAGAGGGCTTCAAGGTTTCGGCCCATGAGGAAGAGAAAGACGAGGGGCCCAGATTTCAGGCAGAACCTCGGCTTGGGCCTCGGACCTTCTCACCTCCTCCAGCTGAGCCTTGGTTCAGGCTGATTCTAGCAATTCAAACTGGATTCAGGCTGCCCCACACCCCAAGCTGGACACGGTTGGATCCTGCCACCTGCTGGCCGTTCCCAGTTCTGCCAGCTCCTTCCTCTGTGTTCCCTACTTAAGCAGCCCAAGGAGCTCTTCTAATACAGCCAGGGGGACCTGTCCTCCGCAGCTGCGCCCTGAAGGCCTCTCAGTGCCCAGCCTTCCTGCTGAGGGGTGAAGGATTGCCTGTCTTTACCGGAGAGAAAAATAAGGAGTTAAAAACCACCTGACGGGGCTGGGGATTTAGCTCAGTGGCATAAGCGCCAGCCTGCCAAGTGCAAGGTCCTGAGTTTGATCCCCGGTACCAACCCCCCCCCCAACCCACCTGATATAAAGTGGATTGTTATTTCTGCCCTGTGTTTGTTCCCCAGGGCCTACACACCCACCAACACCACAGGTTGCTTTGCTCACGATTTTTGTTTTCCTTACTGCTAATAAAAGGTGTCCATTGTGAATAATCAAAAATGAAGCAGCTGTACCCTACCAGGGTAGTTAAACTTGGCTCTGTCAACTTAACATGGTTTGGGAGCTGCCCAGGGGATTAGCAAGGCACAATTCTAGAGGTGTCCGGACGGCCGTGGAGGTGAGACCTTGGGAACTTATCTGGTCTCTCACTCCTTTCTCGTGGGTGTTGTTCTTCCCCGCTTCCTGCGCACCACACGCTGAAAATCTTCTGCTGCCCCCGTGCTCTTCTGCCCAGATGGTTCTGCCTGGGGCTCAGCCTACCATGGACTGAATCTCTTAAAACCAGAAGCCAAACTGAGTCTCTTCTTTGGGTTGTGGGTGTCTGGCATTGTGTCTCGGGAACAAAGAAGCTGACTAATCCATCTACCATCCAAAGATAGCCTGCACTGAAACTTTCCTAACAGAGTGCTCTTTTGTTATAGAACTATCTGCATAACAGCGTTTATGGAGAACTTCTGTGGCAGGCTCTTCTTTCTTTCCCTCCCTCCCTTTTGCCTGCCTGCCTTCTTTCCTTCCTTTCTTTCTCCCATCCACCTTTCTGGAGATGGAGCTCAGAGCCTTGCACAGCTGAGTGCTTATCCTACCACTGAGCCACACCTCCAACCCCAACGCACTTACACTCTTATTTGAAAAAATGGAAATTGATTGCAAATCGTCTTTTGTCTTTTCAAAAACTTATTATTAACATCTTTTTATTTAAAAGATGTTAAAATATCTTATGTATTAAACATTCTTCTTAAGGTAATTTAAATCACTGCATCAAATTCATTATATTAGCACAATTTATCTATCTAATTACCTATTGTTGGGCATTTAGGTTGTTTCTAATATTTTCAGCATTGCTTAGACATTGTTTCCAAAATTTGAACTTCAGACAAACTAGTAATGGAGATTTTTAGGACTTTTATAAACATTGCCAAGCTGCTGTGCACAGAAGGAAGATCAGTTCATGTCCTCACAGGTAGACAGACGGGAAAGCACTGGATCCTGGACACTCCATGCCCAATCCCGAGTGCCCCGGGGACACTCTCAGAGCGCACTGTTGGGTAAACGTGCAGTCCCAGTCCCCATGGCACGGCCGCCTCACGGGGGGCTCCGGGCCACGAATCCTGGAAGCCCCTCATTACAGCAGCAGTGCTCCAGGCAGCGTCACCAAGGTGTTTGTGTGTCTGATTGTGGAAAAGCACAGCAAAAACACGGATGGGGGAAACAGGGTAACCCTGCATCAGGGGCTTAGTGGTGCAGGAAGCTTGTGGGCCTGGTCTGGGCGAGTGTGTAAGTGCAAGTTGCCCAGGTGTGACAGAGGCACATGGCTGCTCGGGCGCTCACGCTGGTTCACGCTGAGATACGTGCACAAAAGCTTTCTTTTCTCAACAAATTCACCTTGGTGCTGACTGTGACTCTTTAACTGTATGTACTTTGATTTTTAAAAATTTTTTGACTCCTGTTATAACACTAATGTAAAACACAAACATATGATTGTATAGCTGTACAAGAATATTTTCTCTACTAGGTGTGGTGGCGCAAACCTATAATCCCAGCATTCAGGAGGCCGAGGCAGGAAGATTGCTGCGAGTTCTGAGGCTGGCTGGGATTATATAATGAGTTCAAGATCAGCCTGAACCGCAGAGAGAGACCCTGTCTCAAACAAAACGAAAGTATGGAAAATCATGTTGATATTTTGTTAAGGAATTGTGTTTTCTGATCTTTATTATTTTCTTCTATTTTTTTGGTTTTATTATGTCTTTTATTTCTAATTTCTTAAGGAAGATGAGGATATTTCATAACTTTCTTCTTTTCTAATAAATGTATTTGGTGTTAAATAAAAAAGAAAGTAAAGAAAAAGAAAAAAACCCAAAGAATATATATATATATATATATATATATATATATATATATAGTATCATTATCAGGTTTCTACTATTTTTATTTATTTAGTTTTCCTTTTTTATTTTTGAGACACGGTCTCGCTATGCAGTTCAAACTGCTGCACTTCTCGCTCTGTAGCCCAGGCTGGTCTCAAACTCACAGGATCCTCCTGCCTCAGCCTCCCCAATGCTGGAATTACAGGCATGGGTCACCACACCCAGCCTATTTAGTTTTACTCTTTTTTTCCCCCCTGGAAACTGAAACACAGCCACACACATTAGCTCAGGCCTATGAAGGCTTGGGATCTCCACATCTTACCTACTGGGAAGCCTTTGGGGCCAGGAACACGCATGGAGCTGTATGTACTCCCCTGTGATGACAAGGTCACCTTCGAAACCCTGAAGGATGCGGCAAGGCTGTCCTAGAACAGTGTCCCGTTTTTCTGAAATTCCTCGGTGGTGGATTGCTAGGTGCATTTCCTGTTTTCCTTACAGGTCTGCGCGGCTCTCAGTGTGGGCAGTCACTGCTTTCAGACCTTTGAAGGGGGTTTTTGCAGTCTGCCAAGGCTCCTGCTATTCTCAAAGAGGATTTTCTTCTGCAGCATCCTCCTCTGCTTCCCGTTCTGGCCTGAGCCACTGGAGGACCACTTGGAGAGGAGGTGCCGGCCTCACCCACAGGCAGGTGAAAGGTGTTCCCATCTGAGCCACAGCCCTGTCCAGTCCCGGGAAGTGGTTAGTGACCTGCCAGGTCTTCTTCCAGCTGCTCACCACGAGCCCGTGTTCAGATGCAGGCTGAGAGGCTGCAAGGCTTTCAGACCACACGGGTGTCAGAGTCTCCCCAGCTGCAGAGGAGCCTGGGCAAAGCTGTGCTCAGGTCTACGTAAGCCTTTCACACCCTCGATGCATCAGGGGCCAGCCCAGAGAGATGGCATTGGGGGACAGCGACTCATGGATACAGGCGGGAAAAGCCCCAGTGAGAGGAGGAGATTTGGGGCAAGGGCTGCTCTTCTCCAAACAGTTCCTCTCCACTACTGTGGCAGAGAAATGTGGGAGAGGAGTCCATAGCCAGCACTGATGCACCGTGCACTCCCAAGTCCTGTGTCTCCTCCCCACTAGTTCCCCAAGGGCTGCAATTTGCAGTCTGCAACATCAGCCCCAGCAAGACTGCTGCTGTCCTTAAAAACTACGTGTGCCTGTGCTTGCTGCTTGTGTGTAAACCCTGACACTGGCGCTGGTGCCCGGCCCCTTCAGAGGTCTGCTCCCAGGTGGGGAGCTTCCATCTTTCCTCAAGATTTGCTCTGGCCGGTAGTTTTCCTCTACGATGGCTTAGAGTTTCCAAAAATTCTCCCATGACCTTCGGATCAGCGTGGATGACTCACTGGCACATGATGCAAAGAGTAAGGACTCCTCAGTGTTTAAGCCACCCCGAGCCGGAGGAAACCCAGCACCGGTCAGATCCAGCTTCTTTGCTCAACAACATAAAGCGCTGCACCTCAGCCAGCGCCATCGAGGCTCAGAGGGAGGTGTCCCGTACCTGGTCTTCAGTAAGGTGACTCGGACTTTCTCTGTGTCATCCCAGATTTTGGCACTTCTCAAATTTTTGTTAGTCTCCTCCTTTCAATGAAGCAGATCCCTTCTCACAACTTCCGTGGCTTCCTGTTTTGAGTTCCCAGCCAGATTCAAATAGGATTGCCTTCTGGCCTGGAAACTACCCCTGATTATCCACCTTCAAGGCTTTAATTTCACTTTGGTGTGGCCTCCTACTGGCAGTGAATTTTCAACCTTAGGGGCCCCATGAATAAAACACCCAGCGTTTAAATCGATCAAAAGGGAAAAATGTTGCGTTAGGGTTGATACATTGTGCTGACCTGAGGAGTTTAGAAGTTTAACTAAGAAAATCAGCAGGGAGCCATGGTCCTTTGCAAACAATGCTGAGCCTGCACCAGAGGAGGGACGGAGGGGAGGATTGCAACATTAGGGAGGAGAAGAGGCCTGCTCTTCCCCAATTTTGCGCTTGTTGCTTTGCTGCCTTCTGCCACCTCTAAGTGTGGCCCCTGTGCCATGCCACCCTGCCTTGGAGCCAGCTGAGTGTGGGCTGCAGCCTCCACAGCTGTGAGGAGGAAGAAGGGATAGAGCAGGAGGGGGGGGAGGGGGGGGACTGGCAAGAGGATGCCCCGGCTCAACACTGCTGGCCTTGAAGAGGGACAGAAGAGGCAAGGGCCACAGTCCATCCTTGGCACTGCTCACGGCCTGGTGTAGCCCAGCGAGCCGCTCCCCGGGCATCTGACCGCCACAACTCGGGGGTTAGAAGTCTGTGTCATTTTGGTCACCAGCTTTGTGGGATCTGTCACAGCAGCAAAAGAAACCCCTATAGCACGCTGAGCACAGTCCCCCGAGGGCTTCCTGGGTACGTCACACTGAAGGCCCGGGACAGTCCCGTGAGGTAGGCGGCCCTGTGCTCACTGTCTAACAGCAGAAAACGGGGCTCTGGGAGATTAGTAAGTTTGGTTCTGGTCACACAGCCAGCTCTGATGGAGCAAAGACCAGGCGCCCGGCTCCGAGGCCCTGAGCCCTGTTCCCTCCATGTGCTTGGTTCCGGAGGGACGAACATGAGGCGAGCAGATAAAGCCTGGTGAGTGATCAGGGTCGCTGTCTGACAGGTTCCGAGCAATATCAGCCGGGCTGCACTGGCCTGGCCGCTGTGGGTTACGATGGCACTCCCAAGCCAGGCTGACCGGGTTCGAGCTCCGAGCCTTCTCTGTGGCACAGCTCTTTGGGAAAGCTGGCTCCCTGCGCTTCAAGCCCTTCATTTACAAAACCAGAACAATACTGACCTTGCAGTCATTAGAGGAGGGGATAAGAAAATGCACCTAGAGGAGCTTATTAATGTTCTAGATACCACAGGCTCCATCAGTGCCCGCTATGGACACTCAATACTGAGTTTCCTATTACCAGAGAATGTTCCAGAAGACTTCTGAAATCTTGGTAGAAGCTTGGCTAAGGCCATGTACAAGACTCCTCCATGGATCAGCAGCAGTTCTAGGGAATTCATTATGCCAGGCATGGTGACATAGGCTGTAATCCCAGCACTTTGGGAGGCTGAGGCAGGAAGATTTCAAATTCAAGATGAGACTGAGCAACTTACTGAGAGCTTGCCCCAAAATGAAAAAATAACAACAACAAAAAAAAACACAAAAAACAAAAAAATGGGCTGTGGATATAATTCGGTGTAAAGGCCCTGGGCTCTGTTTTGCCGCCACCCTAAAAGGTGTGACTCTCAGAACTGTTTAAGATAAGAATGTAAAACAACGTAAATTCCTAACAAGGAGATGCACTGGCTGGACTGTAATCCCAGAACTCTGGGAGGCTGAGGCAGTAGGATTACAAAATCAAGCTCAGCCTGGGAAATTTAATGAACTTAGTAGGATCTTGTCTCAAAACAAAAAGCAAAAATACAAAAATGAAAAAGGGCAGGGATGTAGCTCAGTGTAAATGCGTGGGCTTAATCCCCAGTACTGCAAAAGAAAAAAAAATTTTTTGTAATACATTCCTACCATAAAATACCATAGAAATCACTTAAAATGTTTCTGCAATGTGTTCACTGATATGAAATGATAACATGTTCCTAAAAAATACTAAAATATGTATTATTGTGTTCCATTTTATTTTTAATAAGCTATTAATTTTTGGCACTAGAAAGCCTTAGAAACATATGCTTTAAAGGTGGCGCCCTCTGGATGGCTGGGGGGAATTCAGCCCTTTCCCTGGACTGTCTGCGTTTTAATTGTCCTCCGTGGTCCTGCAAGCCGAGCACACGAGCGTCAGCGTGGAGAGTTCTGTGGGACAGCAGTGCTCCGGAAAGCTGCCCCCAGAGTTCCTGCTCACTGCACGGGGCACCCAAGAGTCGCCCCGAGACTTGTGAAAGCTGCCTTGAAAGTGTGGGGAACATTTGCTTCCTCAGGCCCGGGCCTCAATCCAGTGTCTCATTTGCTTCTGATCAGTGCTAGGAAACAGGCCGGGATGGGGCGATGGCTCCCAACTGCCCGCGAGGAGGGTCCAGTCTCAGGGGAAGCCAGCAAGCTGCTTAGGCTCCCACAGGTGCTGAGCGAGTCGGGGGACTGAGAATCAAGCAGTCCGGACCTCTCATCATGTCTCAGGATGAGCAGAGTGGGAAAGAGATCTCAGACACACCGCGAACTAAACACAGAACACAACAACAGGCCCACCTTAGCGACCTGCGTCCAGGAGAGCAGCTCGGAGTGCGGCAGAGCAGGGAGAGCGAGGGCTCAAGGCCTCTGGGTGCGGATAAAACTCCAGGAAGCAAGGATCTGCCCCCAGCTTGTTTCTCTCCCCTCACCCCCAGACCCAGAGGAGCCCCTGATGTTGTCCCTTCGATAAGCCGATGCAGCTGTGGAACCATCAGCAGCCCTGCTGCCCTCCAGGGCCAACCCCCAGCCCAGAGTTCTCCCAAAGAGGTCCTCGTGGGCAGGACAGACACCTCCCCTGTGAAGGTCACCAACCACCAAGCACGGGCTTGCCTGCTGGCTCCCTCTTGGCCAGCCTGGGGCACAGATCTCTTCCAGCATGGGCTGATCTAATCCACTGTGCTGATATAATCCACTGGGCTGCAGTTCAGCACAGGAGGGGAGGGGAGGTTACGGGGGGGGGTGGAGAGGCACTGCTTTTGGGATCCAGGGGGGTGGCAGTTCGGGGGGATGACCAAGGTGTAGCCATCACTGCACAAGGGGACCACTGCTTGCCTGATGACCTTGGATTCTAGTCCCCACCCTGGCAGTGCTTTTCTGAGCAGTCAATTGCTCCCTCTGGGCCTCGGTACCCTCTGGTGTCAATCGGGGCCACTCAGGACCTTGCCCAGGATAAGGTGTAGCTCCTCCTCTGTTTATTTATCTATCACTATGGGGCCACCACATCCCCATCACTGTCCTGGACCTGAGACTGCAGCTCCAGACAAGCAGACGTGAGCTCTGTGGCCTGCAGGCTGACAATTTAAGCAGCGAGGATGCAGGGTCACGCGGGGACTGCTACGTGCTGTAGTGGAGTGAGACCAGGTGACATGTGTAGAGAGGGGGTCAAGGAGTCATCTTCCAGGAACTGCTAGAGTGGCCCCCACCTACACCAAGGCAGGCAGTGAGGATGTGACCAGAGATGGGCTGGGGGCACTAAATACAGTTTCTGGGGCACATGCCATGGGCTGGACCTTCCCAAGGTGACGGTAGAAAGCAGGGCATGGTACACACCTGTGATCCCAGCACCCTGAGGGCTGAGGCAGGAGGATCCTTGCAAGTTCGAGACCAGCCTGGGCTACAAAGTGAGCCCAAGGCCAGCCTGAACTGCATAGTAAGATCCTGTCTCAAAAAGACAAAAAAATAAAATACAGCCAAGGTGACAGTAGAAATGTGGTGGTGGAGATGTTTAACTTTCAAAAACCTTCAAACATCTGGAAGCAGCTGTGCCAAAGCGTGCTCTGAACACTGAGGGCTTTAGGAATTCCTAAAAGAACCTCCTGGAAGAGCTGAAACTTGGCCGGAGCCTTGAAGGTGGACTCAGGTGAGTGCAAGGCCTTGAGGCGCTGCGGCAACAGGAACAAAGCAGGGGGGTGCGTGTCCCTCACTCAGAGCTGGAGACCAGGCTGTCACACAGAGCTGCTGAGCAGACCGGGGACAGAGGGGCCGCACCCAGGAGCCCAGCACCACGGTCAGGACCTAAAACGCCCAAAATCTGAGCCAGGATATCAGGAATCCCTGCATCCTCCTCCTCCCCGTGCTGGTGCTGTCCTCCTGCGGGCCCAGCCAACAGGCCATGCGGAGGAAGTGTAGAGATGCTTGGGGGGCCGTGGCTTGGCCAGGCCAGCATCTTCCTGAGTGTGCTCCCAGGAGTGACGGATACTGGAGAATTCTTCCCACATGTCCGCTGTCCAAAACTGTGTTCTCTGGAAAATGTGGCCCTAACACTCCTTAGGGAGTGGGAACACGGATGCACACAGGAGCATCAGCGGTCCGAGTCTCGGTTCCCTCTGTGTCACTCAGTATTTCCCAGCATTGTGTAATGGAACCTGCACTTCCCCTGCTGTGGGGACAAGCCTAGCACTCACGACACCCCTGTGGAACCGGAGGGGCCAAAGCACGGCAGGAGATGCTGTTCTGAGCCCAGTTCCCTCGAGTGCTTCTGCAGCAGGGAAGGGGACCCCGGCTTCTCTCCAGGGACTGAGGAGCACAAAGGTTTTCATGAAGAACCTGACCACTAAGGAGCTTTGGCACCAAGGGTCACCGTGTGTGACCTGGCAGGTGTCACTTCCCTTTTGCCTAAAGGGTCACCTGGTGCCTGAGCTGGAGATGGCACCTGTAATGACGGTCACCCTGTGTCACCTGCAGCCTCCGCCACCAACGGATCCAGCATAGCTGAGAGCACCCTGTGTGTGGAACAGGCCCACTGGGATGGTGGCGTCTCCATCTGCAGGGCCACTGACCTGCCACCACCCATGTCTGCGTGGCCAGAAGCCCTCGTGTTGCCTACACCATTCCTTAGCTCCTCCTTCCTGCCTCTTGGCTGTGCCTGGGTGCGGAGCAAGGCTCAGGACGGGTGGGGACCTGTGGGCACCCCAGGGCTCCTTCTGTGCAGGCAGAAGCCTTCTCACCACCCCCACGTCCTCCCACCCCACCCCCTCATCCTTCAGTCCAGCCCCTGTCCTCTACCTCCAGGCCCTCAGGTACCAGGTCCTCTGGTACCCGAGAAGGCAGCCCAGAAGGGTTGAGGGGCCCCAGGCCCCGAAATTTATTCCTTAAAGGTCCTGGCCACCTCTTTCTTCTCCCAGGAAAAGCAGAGATAAAGAAAAGATCTTCATGTGACCCTTAGCTTCCTCAGCTTGCCTGCCCTGAGTAAGGGTCTGACCACAGTTTATTTCCGTCCACCATGGACCGCACGAGGGAAACCCCTGCCCGGCCCTGCCCCTTCCCGCTGGAAGGAGGCTTCCTAAAGTGCATTCTGCAGCCTGAAGAAGTTTGGCAGATGCGTGATACTTCGCTCCCTGTGTGAAAAGTTGCAGTGCACAGTAGCACGTTAAGGAGGGGGAAGTCCTACAGACAGACCACACGTCTGTTCTGCTTTGGGAAAAGTTGCATGAAAAATGACACGTATGCCTCACCCCAGGAATGGCCTCAGGCTTTGTGGCGAGAGACTGGCCGGAAAAACACCCCTGTACTCCAAGCCCCTTGGTCCCCCTGCTCACTGGGGAGGTGGAGAAAATGGTGACCTCCGAACTTCTGGAGCTCAAGAGTTAGAGGCTGTGTCCAGAGGACTGAGAAAGGCAGGCGGATGCCGCCACCCGCAAAGCAGCCGCAGCGACAGTGGACCAGCTTCCTGTGACGCTGGGCCCCTGAGCTCTGGTGACCTCCATTCGCTCTGCTGCTGAGGACAAGAGCCTGCTTCAGGGACCCTTGAGGATTAAGGAGAGAGGCTGTGTGGAAGCATCTCATGGACAGACTCCGTGGAGGGCAAGCTTCCTGAGAAGAGCCTGACACCACAGACAGCCGGGCCTGCTGAGGTCACTCACTGAGCGCCTGGCCCCGTGTGAATGCATGGTGCGGGGACTGAACTACAATCCCAGATCCATTTTTATTTCGAGACAGGGTCTTGCTAAGTTGCCTAGCTTAGGTTTGAACTCGCAATCCTCCTGCTTCGGCCTCCAGGAGTGTGGGGATTACGGGCCTGTACCACCTGGATTCCAGCAACCCCTTTTTCACAGATGGGGGAGCTGAGGGCCGTGCGGGAGCCCTGCATGGCAGGAGGAGTAAAGGCAGACAGGAGGAGAGAGGGCTGGGTGTGGGATTAGACAGAAGGGGCTCGTCACAGCCCGACCGCCCCAGAGCCAGGGAAAGGAAAGAGAGCAGGGCCATCCTGACTCGGGTCTGCTCCCCACTCGGGTTTCATCTGTGCAGGGATGAGGTCCCTGCTCTGCCTGTCGAGGGTCCTCAGAGTCCCCCAAGTGGCCTCTGGGCCTGAGTGGCACCGAGACTAAGGACTAGGAGTGCTTGCTGGCCTGCAGGGACTCAGGCCCGGCTGTCCCCGACCTGGTCTGAGTCGCAGGGCACGTGCCGCCCCCGGCCCTGAGCTGACCTTTGGTCAGGCCTATAGTCGGCTCCTCAAGTCTCCTGACAGTGACCGTAACTGCCTCAGAGCAGAGGTAAACTGAGGCTGAGGAAAGACCAGGACAGAACCGAGAGCCGGCAGCACGGCTGCAGGCTGGGACCACAGCTGGCTCTTTGTCAGTGGACCAGGAGAAGCCTCAGTTTCCCCAATTTGGGCAACAGGAGCGGGAGGGCGGGGGCTCCTCTTGAGTGTTCCCAGGGCCTGCTAGGGCAGTTGGGTGGTCCTTGTGACCCAGTGCCCAGGGCTCTCGGGCACTGCCTGGACTCCCAGCTCACCCCTGCCCTCGAGTCTTCCTGGACACGAGCCGAGAGGCTGTCCTGTCTTCTCCGGAAACTCCTGGACGGAGTCATAACACGGGCATCGTAGTGGGCCTGGCCCTGTTGTCCCCTAGGTGGCCAGGAAGGAGACCTCTGTGGGAGGGATGGAGGCCAGGGGGAAGGCGGGCGGGGCGTCCGACCCAAGGATGCGGTACAGCAGCTCCTCCTTCTCCTGCTGCAGCTGCTGCCGGATCTGCGACTCCTTCTCCAGGGCCTGGCGGGCCAGGAGCAGGTCCTCCGAGAGCTGCCTGCAGTACACACAAGGCCAGGGTGGCTGCAGGGACTCAGCCTTCTCCAGGCCGGCAGCCTACTCTGGGGTCCCCAACCTGCCCTGCAATTGTCACCTGTCTGGCAGTTGCGGAGAAGCTTGTGCTCCTCCAGGACAGCTTAGGGCTGCCCTAGATCTCTGTTCTGTGAAATCTTGGATGGGTTCTTTGCTGTCACTGAATTTCAGCTTCCTCATTGTTAGGGGAGAATGACAGAGGACCCAGCACTGGGGACCATCGTGGGGATTCCAGGAGAGGTGTATTTTCTGAGGTCCCCGAACTCCCGAAGCCCTCAGAACCGGCCATCCCCAGCAGCCGGGTTAGCCCCTCACTTCCTGTCTCCTCCCCTCCTCCCAGGAAGCCCACTGAGGCAGCGGCAACAGATTCGGACACTGACTCGACCGTGTTTCTGGCGGAGCAGGTCCGCTGCGTTTCCTGACTCCCGAGGAAAGGAGGCCACATTTCCTTGCTAGGTTCGGCTACCGGTCAAGCACTCCCCAGGCCCTCAGAGACCTTGACCACGGGGGCCTCAGCGGGGCAGGGGAAAGCAGGTGGGGGCAGCTACCTTGACACCACCGCCTGGTTCCGGGCTCGGACGTGAAGGTCCTCATTCTCCTGTTGCAGGGTTGTGATTTTCTCCTCTAACATCAGGTTTTTTTCTTTCTGTAACAAACCAGAATGAGCTCAGGAAGTTGCAGGACTCACAGGGCACAGTACCTCCTATCACCTCCCTCTTGTCCAGGGTACCCCAAATGTGGATCCAACCTTCCTGGGTGCTGCATGTCACGCAGCACCGAGACAGCCTGTAATAAGGCTGCAGAGCTAACGGCTGCCAGCGTTTAACTCTGCTATGGGGAGATGTGAAAAAGAACACAGCCGCTCACATCGCCCTCCGCTTACAGAAGACAGGGGCTCGGAAAGCCAAAAGGGCCCGGGCTGTAGAAGGAGAATTAAGCCAGCCAACAGCTTCTCTGCAAGAATGGCTCAACAGAATTGACAGGAAAGGCTGGGATGGGGCTGTGGGCGCTGCACACAGGAGCCCAGGGAAACTCCCTGAGCAGTGCCGTCTGTCTGGATCCAGCCCAGGGTTCTGAGGTTTCTGTTCCGTGGACAAAGCCTCCTGTCCTCGGCCCCTGCCTGGCCTGCAACATTTGCCAGTCTCTCCTGATTAGTCAGGTGACTTGCCAGCAGGGTCCAAGTTACAGCTGGATGAGCCGCCAGTGAAAGCACAGGACCTCTGGCCCTGAATCAAGGCCAGCAGCTTCCTGACGCTGTTGGTTCAAGCAGGAGCCTAAAGAGATGTCTTTCTATGGTCTGTTGGCCATTTCAGAACTTGGGCAGTGAAATGGTCAATTCATTAGACAGAAACACCTTCCTCCCCTCCCCCATAAGTGGCTGTGAGTGTTGCAGGTTGTGGTGGCCCAGGACAGGAGCCACCAGTGTCTACTGGGACCCTCGCTATGCTGGGACCCGGAGTGCTGGGAAACCAAGCAACCCCTCCCCACTGCCTGTTTTGTTCTGTTGAACTTCAATACACATGGGACAGCTATTTTGAAGCGAAGGAAAAACTCTATGACAGCCATTAGTGACTTCCCTATTGTCTGGTTTTGAAGATCTAAATTGCCTTCCTCATTCTGTTCAAATCAGTTTTATACTATGGTGTTTTGTATGAATTCTCTGTATGCAAAGACATGGACAACTATTTGGAAGAAAGCGAGAGACAATATGATAGTGAAGATCTCAGGTCAGCTAGCTTTGAAATTTATGTCTCTTACATTGCTTTCTTATGTTCTATTTTGTTCTGTTTAATTTTACCCCCTTTAAAATAAAAAAAAAAAGTACAGGACCCACAGTGAAGTCACTGCCTGACCCAGCTGGCTGCTCAGTGTGGAAGCAGATTGAAGGGCAGTGCCCCGGGGTGGGGGTATGCATATACTTTTACATGAAAATGCCCGGAAAGCAGCAGCCCCAGGTGGCGCCCCACCACGCTCAGCCACTGACCACCGTCTCCATGAGGAGCAATCGCTTGTCCAGCTCGTGAATCCGCTCGTTCTTCATCTCGATGACAAAGTGCAGGCTCTCCAGCTCCTGCTCCCAGAACTGGCTGGGGCTCCCATAGTCCTGGGCGGGGACACAGAGGGACTCAGCAGACAGCAGCTAGAGGAGGGCACGGGCTGCCTCTCTTCTCCCTGTCCTGCGACCAGCTTGAGGGCTTTCCACAGACTCTCGGGAAGTATTAATCTGCTTTATCTCACGACGCCCTTGTGGAGGGTCCCAGCACTTTATCAGGTAAAGCAGCTGCCTGGGTGTGTGCTGGGTGGGAGGTCTGCTTCGTGCACCTAGATCTCATGGGCTCCAGAGGCTGGGACTTTCCCATCCCCTGCCTGTACCCATGCCTCCCTCTCTCCCTCAGGGAAGTGTGCACCCCTTCTGCTCCAGGCCCTTCTGAAGATATCGGCTCCGAGACTTGGCCTGGTGGAAGAGCAGCCTTTCCCACGATGCCCAGCCCCGAGTCCTCAGAGGCTCAAGGAGCAGAGGAGCCCCTACCTGGATGTGCTTCCTGTAGTCTCGGGTCAGGATGGACTCCTCCACCCGCCTCATCTTGGCCTGGAAAGCCTCCAGCTGGGCGGTCAGGGATGCTATGGTGTCCTGCAGGGGAGCAGGGGGAGGGGATCAGTCCCCCATGTCCCAGGGGCGGAGAGGCTCGGGCCCCTCAGTTCCTCTGCAGTCTGCTCCATGTGATGACTTGGGTTTAGACTCCTTCAGCACTGCTTGAAGCGCCCCAGCCCCACTCTCAATGTGTAGCCTGGAATGGCTCCATAAGTCCCTGAGGACTTGATGACTTTTTCTGGGCTCATCTCCTCTCTCCTGCCTCCACATCTAATCTCTGCTCCAACAACAAGGTTCGCTCCTGTCTCCGGGTTGCTTTCCTCCCTGCTGAGATTTCCTCCTCTGCAGCCTCAGCCGTTGCCTCTGGATCCAACCCCACCCTTGGCACGGCTCTCGGGCTCCTGGCCTGGCCGAGCCCTGCAGCTTCTCTCCCCTGCCCACTGGAACATCACACCATGGCACCTGGACTTCCTCCAGTCCCTCAGGTAATCTGTGTGTCTTTCCCTTTCTCCAGGTTTTAGGATAAACTGCTCTCTTCTGCTTAGGGCATTCTTCCCGGGCTTCTTTACTGAGGAATTCTAACTTATCTTTTGGGTTCCCGCTTAGATCTCATTCCCTCTAGGAAATGTCCCCTGGGCAGCCACACTGAGGTAGCCCAATGCCTTCTCCCCACCCCCACGAGTCCCTGGGCATCTATGTACCTGTCTAGTCACGTGGAGCCATGCGGTCTCTAATATCCTCCCGACAGACCTGGCCAACCCCAGCTGCAAATTGAGTCCTCGTGTGCTAATAATGGTCTGGCCACATCAGGGGCTTGGGGCACATGGAAGGGGGTCACCTCAGCCCCTCTGCGTCAGAGCCCCTCAGTCTCGGCTGCCTCGGGGCTCCGGGCTGCTTTTCTGCCCTACCCATGCCAGGGACAGGCACTGCTCAGTCATCTCACCTGAAGGGCAGCTTTGGCCTCCTGGAAGGCGAGGGTCAGGGCCTCCTTCTCCTGTTCATGTGACTCCCGGAGGACTGTGGGGGAAAGAAGAGCTCCATAAGCCCAGACACTTTTCCCTAAGTCTTCTGGAAAATCCCTTGAGAACAGAAGGGTGGAGATGATCACCCAGGCCCTGTAAGGGCCAGGAGCTGGGGAGGGGCTTACCATCCTCCTGTCTCCTAGTTTAGCTGGGGGGCTCTGCCGGAAATACACCAGGTATTTAACAAGGCTCATGGGATGGAAACAAACTACAGCTGTGAACCTAGTGGGCTGTGGGTGCTGCCCCCCTCACTGAGGCTGCGATCCAGAGACGTTGCAGCAGGCCTGTCCACCTCAGGCATCGCACTGTGAAAGATGCCTAGGGCAGACGCCTTGTAAGCTGGGTCAGCCAAATCACACAGTCACCAAGCGCTCCTGTCACACCAGAGGACAACGCTGCGGCGAAGGACGTCAGACCTGGGGCTGGGAATCCACCTGGCGTGGCTCTGCTTCTCCAGCACAGGGACCTCAAGAAGGGCACATCCAGCACCTAAAAGGCCTGCTGCCGTGACCGTGGAGTGGGGTCAGTGTGCTCGCCCAACCACCCCACGGGGTGACTCAAGGATCGCAAGAGTTGAGGACACTGGAGGCTTCCAGACGGAGCCATCTGCACAGAGCCGCAGCTGCTCGTCACTCCCCAAGCCAGCGCTGTTTATCACCCCTCTGCGCCCTTCGGAAAATTCCAACCTTGTCTGGGTGGAAAGAAGACAGTGGAGAAAGGGCCGCTCGATGGCAGGAAGAGAAGCAGAACAGAGCGGGCAGGAAGGCTTAGTCAGCTGAGGGAGCAGGCAGGGCGCTGAGGCTGAGGCAGGAGGGTCACAGGCGGTGTGCTTACGTTAGAAAGTCTCAAAGCAATAATCTAAGTTTCTACTTTAAGGAATCATAAAAGAAGAGCCAACATAGGCAAGTGAACAGAAGAGATACAACAAGCATCAGTGAGATTAAACATGGGCAGATGGGAAAAAACACTAATGGCACTAAAAGCCCCTTTGAAAGGGTCAACAAAATAATAACCCTGATTAAGAACAAGAGGGAAAAGAGAACACACGACAGGGAAAAGGGTTCTCTGCACCGGGAGCGAGGGGGAGGCCATCACTCCGGACGCAGTAAACACACAGAATGACACCCAGGGAAGGAACACTACGGACAGTTCTATGCATGTCAATTTGACGGCTCCAATGAAATGTACCAACTCTGCCAAAGCTACAGACCCCTCACCCAGGGTAAAATGTAAAACCGTGGGTTCCTTCATTGGTGAAAAGAATTGAATTTGTACGTAAACACATTCTGGGACAGAAATACCCAAGCACAGATGGTTCCACGCCAAATTCTATTGATCACTTAAGAATGACATGACACCAATTTTTACCCTTTTCCAGAAAGTGGAGATTTTCCAACTCATTCCATGATGCAAGTTTTTTTTTTTCATGATGTAAGTTTTACCCTGACACTAAAAACAGAATAAGAAAACTACAGACATGTGTCACTCATGAACATAGACACGAACGTCCTCAATAAAGTATCAGCAAATCAAATTCAGCAATGTATCCCTATTTCATATGGATATAGCCAACAACATACCGTGACCTGGCAGGGTTAATACCAGGAATCTGACGAGTATTTAACAGTTTAGATCTTCTGATCTACCATATCAACAGTCTAAGTAAGAAAAAGCACATGATTATATAGATCATAGATTGAAATGTTAAACCTAAAACCATAAAACTGTTGCAAGAAAAAAGAGAAAGTCTTTGTTACCTGGGTCTGGGCAGGCTCATAAGAAACGACACCAAAGTATAATAATAGAAGAAAAGAATAGTGATTTCACTTTATCAAAATTAAAATTTTGCTTTCTGAAAGTTATTATTTCACAGATGTGGTGACACAGGCTTATAATGCTGGCACTCTGGGTGGCTGTGGCAGGACGATCAAAATTTCATGCCCAGCCTGGCCAACGTGGTGACTTAGTGAGGCCCTGTTTTTAAAAGAAGTAAATACTTGGAGGAGGCAGCTCAGAGCAAAGGCCCTGGATTCCATGCCTAGCACCGCAAGAATAAATAAAAGAAGGAAAGAAGGAAGAAAGGAAAGGAAGGGAAGGAGAAAACAGACCTTACTAAGAAGACAAAGCTCCGTGTAGACTAGGCGAAAGTATTTGCAAACATGGAGAATTTGTATGCATGGAGTATTGTATTCATATAGAGATCTCCTAGAACTCAACAATAAGAACAAATCCGCTAACTAAACTGGGGAAAGATTTGTTCAGACATCTGACCAAGAATGATGTACAGCCAGCAACTGAGAAATGAAAGGATGTTCGACATCACTAGTCACTATTAAAATGCAGACTGGACCCACAGGGAGAGTCATCCCGAATCCCAGCCTAAACAAAGACACCAGCCAGGCGTGATGGCACCCTCCTGTAATCCCAGCACTCGGGAGGCTGAGGCAGGAGGATCCTTGCAAGTTTGAGACTAGCCTGGGCTACAAAGTGAGCTCAAGGCCAGGGTGAACTGCATAGCGAGATCCTGTCTCAAAAAGACAAAAACGAACAAAAAAATCCCAAGACACTGACAACTACCAGTGTGGGCAACAAGGCGTGGGGCCCAGTCACCGCGGGCGCTGGGTAAAGTGGGGGTGGCTCAGGACCGCAGACTGGCCGCTTCTCACCGCGCTAACTGTATTTGCTGCAGGACCTGCTGCTCAGGCCCTCGCACTCACTCCAGAGAGGTGAACACTCAGGTGATCCCAAAACCTGCACACAGAGTTTACAATAGCTCCGCTCGGTCACCCCGACAGGAAATGAACCCGATGCCCTGCAGCCAGTGAAGGAGCCGACCCCGGAGCACAGCTCAGCAGTGGAAATGGGGCTCCATGGCTCCCCAAGGACAAAGCTGTCATTATGGAGCCAGACCAGGGTCACCAAGGCCTGGGGACAAGAGGAACACGAGAGGACAGAGGCCTTGGGGCAGTAGAATACTTCACGTCCTGATGACGGAGATGGTTACACAGCCACGCATGTGTAGGAGCTGGTTTCTCCCCGTGCCAGGAGTGGACCAAGGGCCTGCTGCAGGCTGGCCAAGTGCTCTCCACTGACCTGTCCCAAGTCTTCTTTATTTTTAATCTATTTTTTTAAATTTTGAGACAAGATCTCACTAAATTCTCAAGCCAGGCCTTGAACTTGTATCCCTCCTGCCTCAGCCTCTCAAATTGCTGAGACTACAGGCCTGTGTAATCACACGTGAGGCTGGATGTTAGAAATTATGGAACAGCGCGTGCGCACACACACACACACATGTAATTTAAAATGAAAAAAATTGAAACAAAAATAGAAGATAAAGATGACAAAGAATCACGGAATATGGAAAGCCACCACCAGGCTTCCCAGTTACTGCCGTATCATCCCATGAATGAATGAACTCTCACGCAGTTCCCCCAAGCTGTATATTCATTCATTCATTCGATATATACTTACGCAACACTTAATGTGTTGCAATTTGAAAATAACTATAAAGGAATTCTGAGGAGAGAGGAGAGGCACTCTCCTTTGGGCTTTACAGTAGGAAAACTCTAATCACCACTTTTATAGTGATAAAAATAATACAAAGTTTAGAGAAAAGCTTCTTTTCCCACAGACCCCTGTGAAGTGGAGAAGGCGGGTTTCAGAGAGCAATGGGGCTGAGATGTAAGCGGCTGAGGGACAGCCGGGCTGGTGGCGGCTGTGCTAGCATCACAGCGTGGCTCTGAAGTTCTCTGGCAAGGGGCTTAGCTCCACTTCAAGGTGGCCCCTGCTCACGTCTTGCTATGCTTTAAGAGTCCTGAAATCTCTCACGCCTCTGTTCCAGTTCCTCTCCTTCAGGACTTCGGAGCTCTCCTGGGAATCGCCAGCAAAGCTTTATGCAAAAGCTGTTTACATCAGTGATACAGCAGCGAGCATCTAGGTGTCTAGATTCACAGGAAATAAGCAACCATGTGGTTCTAGTCCAGCCCTTCTAAACATTCTAGCAGCAGCAGGTGCTGAATCATTTCAATAGAATGTTAAATGAAAAGTACAGATATAAAATGCTGCATGTCAAATAATCGTAACTGTGTTTTCACCTTTTGTGGTATCAGGGATAGAAATCATGACCTCATGCTTGCCAGACAGGTGCTTGTGATAACTGTGTTTTTGAAAAGATAAATATTGTGCTTCCCAGAAAAGAAGACCCTGCTGAAAAATAGCTAGCTTGAAAACCAGAGGTCAAAGCTGCCAGCCCCGCCAGCCTGTCCCGGTCTGACCTGCCCCAAGAGCAGTCCCAAGCAGGGGAGGCAGGGACAGGGTGGTTGGGCTGGCGGTTTGGGCTTCTAGTTTTTAAGGCTATTATCCGGCCTGTTCTTATTCTCAAGGAAACAGGGTTTATTCTAGGGGAAAGAGCACACACATATGGACAATGCAAAGCAAAATCATTTTCAGGGTCTGTTTCAAAAATGCCACAGCCTCCAAGGACAACACACGGATGAGCAGTGAACACTGGAGAGCTGCTCAGCCATGTGCATCATCATGGAAACTCGAATTAAAACCGTGATGACCAGAGCTGGGGATTTAGCTCAGCGGCATAAGCACCTGCTTTGTAAGCAGGTGGTCGTGAGTTCGATCCCTGGTACCGGTTTAAAAAAAAAAAAAAAAGAAAAGAAAAAGAAAACCGTGATGACCACTTCACATGCATGCATGTGACAGTGAGTTTGGAAAATCACAGATATTGGTGAGATCACAGAGCAGCCAGGACCTGTGCCTGGCTAGGGGAGCACAAGGCAGTGCAGTTGCTGTGGGAACGAGCTCAGTGGTTCTTCAAAAGGCCAGTACGGCTGTTCTCCCCCAGTGTACACCTGAGATGTCCATGCGGGCACTGCTGAGGGTGGGAGAGGGCAGAGGTGGCCCGATATGCATCAATAAACCCTGTCCCATGCAGTGGAATATACTCAGCCATAAAAAGGAATGGGTTTGGATGTATGCTGTGGTACAGACAGGCTCTGAAAACCTCACATTGGGGAAAGGAAGCTGGAGGTGAAGGCCACAGATCTTACAATTCTATTTACAGGGCTTCCTGGAGTGGATGGGGCACAGGGACAGACAGCAGATTTGTGGTGGCCAGAGGTTGGTGGGAGGAAGAGGAGCTACTGCCTGTCGGGACAGAGGCTGCCTTAGGGTGAGGTCAGTGTTGGGAGCAGGTCTGCAGTGGTGGCACTGAGGATGTGTTAATGTAACCATGGTACATATTATGCCTATTTCTCCACTATGGAACTACATACACACAAGCTTAGCCCTATGGATTCTACCAGGAGGGTGCACGAAAAATAACATTAGGAACCGGCAAAGATTTTACCAGATAAAGTTCACTGCGCAAGCGTCCTTGTTATTATAAATGATAGCAAAGACAGGGAAACTACCTCTGACCCTGGGGATGCCTTACATGAAGGAAGGTAAGGATGGGAATGCTAGAGGTCCTACAAGGTCCCGGTGTAACTCAAGGTGAAAGCCCAACAGCCACTTAGTGTGCACAGATGGACACCCGGCGCAGGCAGAGAGGAAGCCCAGCAGGGACCACCAGCAGCGTGACAACCGGGCCAGCTGGGGGGCGCCACACAGGACATTTCCTCAGGAAGGCAGCAGGTGCTGGCCATCACCCGCCAAGCATTGTGCACCGTCCTAAGTCCTGTCTGCACCTGTCTGCTGTGACATGGCTGCATTTTCACACACATCTGTGAGGCAGGAGAAGGAAGTCCTTAAAGTGACACACCCAAAGGGCAGCAGAGCTGGCCGGGGACAGGCCTTCCCCACTGCGCTAAAGGGTCTTTTCCCATGTCACTCACGGATTCTTGATTTTCTGTAATGATCACAGTCAGTGATGTAAGAGGAAAAAGCTATTTAACAAAATTCTTCATGCAACTGCAAATGCTATAGGCTGTGGTCGTTGTGGGGTGGGGTATGGCTACTTCACAACACTTTCCTTACAAATTCTTAGGTTTCTGACAGTTCCTTTAATGTATAGGCACTGCTTTAAAAACAAAAAACTGTCAAATAAGGTAAAGCAACATGGTACCACTTCGGTTTGGCTTGATTTTTGTCTTGGGGATGAAACTAGGGCCTCTACCCTGAGCCACACCTCCAGGCCTTTAGTTTTTGAGACAGGATCTTTCTAAACCACTCAATTGCCCAGGCTGGGCTCAAACTTGTGATTTTCTTGCCTCAGCCTCCCAGAGTGCTGGGATTACAGGAAAGCACCCCTACACCTGATTTGATGCCAGACTTTTAAAATTAGGGCTCCAGAAGAAAATTCCATCTTTTTCTGGGGCCAAGGGTCCTGTGAACTCCGGCTGTGATGCAGAAGGAGGGGATCGGGCAGTAGGGCCGGGTGGGCCACCTGCATCCTCACCTCGAAGGGCCTCCTCATGCTGTCCCTCCAGGACGCTCCGCTGCTCCTCCAGTCTCTCCCGGAGCTCCAGCTCCCTAGCCTTCTCCACCTGGGGCGAGAGGGCGAGAGGGAATGAAATCTTGGAGCTCAGCCTCGGGATCAGAGCCCACGCCTGCAATGAGCCAATCAGAGCCCACGCCTGCAATGAGTCAATCAGAGCCCAGGATCCTCTACCCAGCAGGTCCCACCAGCTGGTCTGCTGCTTAGGCCAGCAGCCCGGTGGAGACACAAGCATGGCTCCAGGCTGACTGAGCCCCACCAGTCTCACTGCCCCACAATTTGGACGTTCCCAGGCCTGGGCCACCTGCAAGGGTACAGAGCACGACCATCCAAAGCCGAAGCCCAGCGGAGAGAGGTTCCAGGAGTGCAACCGAGGCCAGCTCCTGTCTCCCCCATGACCAGATCCAGGGCCCCCAGGGACCCTCAAGGTGAGCATCCCAGGTAAAGGTCACCACCAGGCCCAAGGCCACGGAAAACCCGCTTCTCCTGACAGCCGTGTTTCCTCCCCGACCAGGGAAGAGGACAGCAGTAGGGAATATCTCAGCAAGGTGTAAGAAGTCTGCTCTGAATCCTCTGATTCATTCCCTTTAACTGTCTGTCTGGAACCCACTCGGCCACCGACCTGGGACACACGGTCTGTTTAGAAAAGACTGCAGCTGTGCACGCAGCTCTGTCTGTGCGGCTGTTGGTGATGAGTGTTTTCAGTCTTCCCATCTGCTGCATCCTGACCTCTGACTGACAGGCCGGCCAGAGCCCGAGTGCCTTCCACATCCACTCTCAAATCGTCTTCTCTTGAGGTCCTGGGATTCAGCGGCTCTGTCACTGAGCTACAGTCCAGCCTTTCTAAATTTCTGTCTTGTCAGTTTACCTAGGCTGACCTTGAACTTGTGATCCTCAGCTTTAGTCTTTCTCTCTCCATATGTATCATTTTAAAAAGTAGTTTTGAGAGAGGGTCTCACTAAAGAGCCCTAGATGGCCTACAACTCCTGGTGACCCTCCTACCTCAGCCTCCCAAGTGCTGGGATTATGGGCACACACCACACCTCGAGGGTTTTAAATCAGCAATCACACTCAGGCTAGAAGGGATGCTGGGTTTTCTTTTACTGCTCACCGGCCAGACCTAGCTCGGTGCCCCACGTGAATGCATAGTGGTCCTGAAGGCAACAAATCCAGGCACTTCGATGCTTCTCAGCTGCCAGCCTGGCTTGGTGACAGCGCCTGCCTGCTCTGCTGCTCATAGCCTAGGGGGTCTCACGTGGGGTGGCCGTAAATAGACATGTATGCGGTGGATCAATGACTCCCTCTTCACAAGAAGGGCAGGAAACACTTGTGACCCCAAACCAAAGCCCCCAGGCAGTGATGTGGGGCGCGGGTCCTACCTGTCGGGCCCTCTCCTCCTGCTCCTCATGTGGCTGCCACAGCCTGGCGCTGTCCTGGCGCTGCTCGGCCTCATTGAATGGGCACTGCTGGAGAGCTGCGGCTGCAGGGAGAAAGCCAAACACTCAGCACGGGCAGTGTGGGGAGCCGCGGCGAAGGATGCGAACCCCAGACCCTTAAGGACAGCCCCTGGATCCCTCCTCCTGCTCAGGGCAGGAACTGGCCGTCTCTGCAGCCTCCAGCACCTGGGATGGCTGGGCCAGAGGGAGTTTGATTTGTCCTGACCCACATCTGCACCAGAACACAGTCACTGAGCGTGCACAACTGGGAAGTTTCCTTACTAACGTGGATTCCTGACTCTTTTTCTGAAAGGATTCAAAGAACTGGCAACATGGCCCTCAGGTCAGGCGGGGCTAGAACCGAGGGCCAGCTGAGACTCCTCTGCCAGGACATGGCTTTGCAGTCGGTCGGCCACCGCCCCCTCAGCTCCCCTCCTCCGGATGTGTGGAAGGGGTCGCTTCATCCTGCTGGGGCCTGGGACTGCTCACTGTCACCATCACACCTCCCCAGCTATGTGCGGAGGGGCTGCCTGTGAGCAGGGAGGGTCTCCTTGTTCATGAAGTGCTTTTCCTGTGCGCTCTGGCCGATCCTAGCACTGCTGTTGCTGCTGCGATGAGCTTTCTATGGTCATGGTGAAGGTCCGAGGCAGGGTCTGGCCCAGCTGGCTAGCAATGTAAGGACAAGGGAGAAGCCAGCCCTGTGGCCAGCTCCATCCAGACAGAGCGAGAGGCTGGTGTCCTTCAGGCCTGAGCTCCCGGAGTGCACAGATGGAGGTGACCCCAGAACCAGGCACTGCTGAGTCCTCTGGCTCCCTGCTGGTCCAGGGGGTCAGGACCAGACTGGCCCAGCATGGGAGAAGCCTACCTAAAAAGCCCTTTGAAAATGCGGGTCCCTCAGCCGTGCTGAGATTCTTCCTGAGTCATCGGTGCGGCCCTGGCATCTGTGTCTGTGACGCTGCTCGGGGAATTTTGATACACAGACGGGAGAAGCCCCAGATTCGGTCGGGTTGCTTATCTGGGGCTTGAACTCGATCCACTGCAGTATCACCGCAGCTCCAGGCTGAAACCCAACACCGCCAGAGGGACAGCTCACTCTGTCGCCAGGCAGCTGCACAAGCCACTCTTTGAGACTGCGCTGAATTCGGGCTGCGCAGCGTCACCACCTCAAGGACCTGGTACCGACCTCCGGGGCGCCCAGAACAAAGCTCATCTTTCTTCTCCACTGGGCCACTTCAGACTCTCGTGGGGGAAAAGCGCGGTTTTACGGTGACGTCTTCCTTCCGGGTGGACCGATCTCTGTCCCTTCTCCTGTTCCTCTCAGGACATACTTTCCAGAGTTTTTTACTAGCCTGATTTAGCTGTACTGTACTTCCTCCATTTTTTCTGAATCCCTCAGAAATACTTTCCAGAAATAGACATGGCATTCTAGGTATGGCGTCAGCAGCTCAGAACAAGGAAGCCCAGGACAAGATTATCACCTCCACGGTTTCGGACAAGATACTCCTATTAACACAACCCACTGAGATGCAGGGGCTCCAGCTACGTCTGTTTTTTGACTGCAAGACAGAAGCCTCAGAGTGTCAGTGGGGACAGGCGTGGGGACTGCCACTTACTTGCATCCTTATGGAGGGGACTCAGCTCCTGGGGCTCTGCCTTGGGCGACTGCTCTTGTTCTCGGTGCCGCTGGAAGAAATGATTTGCAGATGAGAAGCTGAGGCTGGTGGGTTAAGAACTGGATCAGGGAGGCTCAGGCCTCCCTCTGCAGGCCCTTCATCCAGCCTGGGCCTGCCCCAGCCGAGTCTGACAGGAGAAACTGATGGAGGGCCTTCTCCATCACACCCAGTGTGAGCTGAACCTGAGGTTTCACAGATGAACCAGGTGTGGTGGTACACACCTGTCACCTCAGCACGTGGGAGGCTGAGGCAGGAGGATTGCCATCAGTTTAAGACCAGCATGGACTATGTGGCGTAACCCTCAAAAAAAAAAAAAAAAAAAAGGAAAGAAAAGAAATAAAGAAAAAATAGGAAAAAATGTTCCAGATCCTATTTTAAGGGCCACTTACACAAAACTACTTAAAAAGTCAGACCATTGGGGCCAGGGGTTTAGCTCAGTATAAGTACCTCCCTGGCAAGCACAAGGTCATGAGTTTGATCTCTGGTACCAAAAAGAAAAAAAAAATCAGTCCATGAAAAGTTGCAAAAGTGTTTGTGTATTACAGAGGACAAACATTACTTTTGACTATGGTAACAGATTTCTGAAAAGCAATTATTAGGATAAAAATGGGCACTGTTTCCTGGCCTGGAACCCCTGGAAAGCACACTCTGCCAGCAGAGCCCATCCCCACCAGCAGCTTCCAAGACAGCCTCTCTGCCCCAAAGTGGCAGGCATGAGCCTGGCAGGGGGAGGAAGCATGGCGCCACCCCCAGGCCCTGGTGTGCAGCTGCCACCCACCCTCTTCCAGGGACAGGAGAGCTAGAGGAGCTGTCAGTATAGGAGTCTGGAGGTGCCAGAGCCAGAGGGAGGAGGGAGGAGGGAGGAGGAGAAGGGAGGAAGACGGTCACAAGGCCACCCCTTCCCTGGTGCCACCGCTGGCCCAGGTGAGCCGGGGTACTGTTCTTCCAGAGCAGGAACACCTGGGTCCAGGCTGCTCTGCTGCTGGTGCAGGTGCGCCGCCCCCAGCCCTGTGGGTGTCTGGAGGTCTGTCAGTTCACCCGTGATCCCTCGGGGTTCCAGCTCGGGGTGTGCATCTCAGCTCCTTCCCGAGCACTGGAGGCAAAGGCGCCACAAGGGAGGTGACTGAGACCTGGGGCTTGAGACAGGGTCACGCATGCCTCTGTCTGACCTGGCCTCGGAACCAGGGGTGCGAATGTCACCGTAGAGCAGAAGGCTGAGAACTCCGGGACCCTAGAACCACCCAGATCTGGATTCGTGATTATGCTGGGGTTGATTCCCACAAGGCTGTGTAGGACCTGATGCCCCCACAGCACCTCGAACACAGAACAGCTCGACCACTGCAGAAATGTTTGTGCTGTACCTCCGAGAAATGCGCTGGGAATAGAGATCCCAGCTGTGTGCTGGCTGATGGCTCGGGCTGCCACCAGCTCTCACGCTTTGCGCTTTGCCGTCTGAACCAAGACCTGAGACCCTGCTTTGTTCCAAGTAATGGCAATCACAGAACAGTCGAGAATTCTCCTGTGTAAAAAGCTGCCAGACCGCTGGGCATGGCGGCGCACGCCTGGATCCCAGCACTCTGGGAGGCTGAGGCGGGAGGATCCTAAGTTCAAGCCCAGCTCTGGCAACTTCATGACTTAGCAAGACCTTGTCTCAAAAAACCAAAAAAGGGCTGGGCCGAAGCTTAGTGCAAGGCCCTGGGTTTAAGCCCTAGCACCACATGTCTGGAATTAAGGCTGCCAGACCCCAGGCGGGACATGGCCTTAGCACGAGTCCCTCAGAGCCCACAGTCGGTCCCCAGACATCTTTCTCCAGGATGGAAAATACAGAAAAATATAAAAATTAAGTCCCACTACTCAAGACAACCCTAAGGCACACATCGGTCTCCACAGCTGTATCAGCACTGGACTATGACGTACGCTTTCTTACGCCTTAGTTGACATGCTGTAAGCATTTACTACCCTGCAGGACTACTGCATACATGTATGGGGCTGGGGATTTAGCTCAGCGGCATAAGCACCTGCCTTGCAAGCAGGCAGTCGTGAGTTCGATCCCTGGTACCGATAAAAAGGAAAAAGACAAAAAAAAGAATGAATTTATCTACTGTGGGGTGTTTAGGTTACCTCCATTTTTTACTTTTAGTTATTTATTTTGGTGGGCTTTTTCTGACCAGGGTTTCACCACACAGTCCAGGCCACCCTCCAACTCACCACCTGCTGCCTCAGCCAGGTGTGCTGGGGAGTGACAGTATTTCCTGTTTTTAAATTTGCAATTGATACTTTAGCGAACACACTGCTTTCTGAAATTCTGTTCAGGGCTGGGGCCGACCCAGGGTGCAGCACGTACAGCAGCAGAGTGTGTGCTTAGCCTGCAGCTCACGCTTGCCTTCGCTTTCCCACACCAGCGACAAATTAATGAACTAGCTTGTGAGCATGTCTAGCATGGCCCACCCTTCGGGGTTTCCACACCCCCACAAATAGTTATGAGGAAGGCTGGCATGGAATAGTACCTTGTCTCTTATTATTATTGTCTTTTTTCATTTTTTTTTTTTTTTTGTCTTTTTCATTTTTATCGGTACCAAGGATCGAACTCACGACCACCTGCTTGCAAGGCAGGTGCTTATGCCGCTGAGCTAAATCCCCAGCCCCTATTATTGTCTTTTTGAGACAGGGTCTCACTATGCAGTTCGGGCTGGCCTTGAGCTCACTTTGTATCTCAGGCTGGTCTGGAATGTACAATGATCCTCCTGTCTCAGCCTCCTATGTGCTGGAATTATAGGCAAATGCCACCATGCCTGGCAACCTTACCACTTTTTAAAAACTACTGGCAACTTTGCTAGATCAAAATGTGCTCCCACCTGGCCCCAACATGCATGTGCGAGACCATCCCACACTGCCCTGGTCACCGTCAGGCGTCTAGCTCCCTTAGTTCTCTCTGGCCCTCCCTAGGTCAGGATGGCCCCTGTCCTCCCTGTTCCGGGCTCCCAGGACACAGCCATGGGCAGTTAGGGCTGTGTGTCTCCTGTCCAGCCCAGGGCCCCTCGGGGCACAGAGATCGATTTTGAAGTCCACTGTGGGTGTGCTCACAGAAGCTCCCGGCTGGTTCTGGATCTACAGGACCTGAGGCAGACCATGCTTGCTGGTATCTCCACTCCTGGTCATTTGTCCAGATGACCCAGGAGCCCACAGAACTCTGTGAGCTCACAGATGTGTGGCCCAGGGCTGGGCAGAACCCAAACAATCGCTGAATGGAAACTCTCTGAGTTGGTGGCTGGCCCGCTTCCTCCTCAGAGGTCATAGAGCAGAGCACACCCTGCAGGGGAGAGGTGCAGGGGACGTGAGAACTTCCCCTTCCAAAAGGAGGAGGTTATGGGGAGGCCCAGGGCTGGTGGGGCATCCGGACTGCTCGGAACGGGGATGGCAGCTTCCTGAGTCACCAGAAGCTTGAGAGGGAGGAGGCTGGCTGTACAGAATGTGGGAGAACCCGGGATGGGGCGGCCCGGCACACTAGGGCACCAGCTTCACTGGTGGGTCTTCCCTTCTCTAAGTCCGAGTTCCCCCAGCTGTGAAGGATCCGGGTCTCTGCAGCTCTACTCCTACGAAGGTTGGAAATGGAGCCTGGTACCTGGTGGCACATGCAGCTCGAGCCCCAGCAGCTGGCCAAGCACTTGCAGGCCCCCGAAGGTGGACCAGAAGCACACGGGCTGCAGCAGGACATGGTCATCCAGGGAGTCAGCTAGGATGACAGGCAGGACCCAGAGCTGCAGCCAGGTGAGGCCCCTGAGAAGATATCTCGGTCTGGAGGGAAAGTGGATCAACTCAGGAAGACATGGACAAACTGCAGAAGCGCAGGACTGTGGCCGTGCCTGCAAGTGCCCACATCATCACCAGGACTTTCAGAGCTCCCCTCCAGGGAGCCTGCGCCTCAAGGGTGTGCAGAGCATGGTGACAGTCATGAGAGTGACGGCACCAGAAGCATGCAAGAAGTTGGACAGGCAGTGTTATTTCTCAGGTGGGACTGAGTGATCTATAAGGAGCCCCAATTCCAACAGTCTGTGGCCACCAGGCGTCCCTGTGTCCAGCAATCGGACCCCTCTGAGGAGCACGAGATATTCTGCCAGTGCAAGTGGTGCCATGCTAAGCCCCAGTGTCACCAGAGCCTCAGCACTCCATCCAGTCCCCTTCGGGGTGTAGTGGGGGGCAGCGGCACCCTCAAGCCTTTGGGGAAGACATGCCAGCCTCCCTCCAATGCTGAGTCCCGGCTGGTGAGGGTGACACGAGCGGAAGCAACATGGACAGAAGCTGCCCAGTTGCCCTTTCCAGAGGCAGCCAAGGGTGGCCTTGAGGAAGGCGCATCTTGCCTGAGACACTTGGCTTGGCCCACCTTCCAGAAACTGCACTGCATCCTGTGTGTGTCCACCCAAGCATGTGCATTTGTGCTTGGCCCTTTGCAACGTCCACTTAAACTAGAACCCTCTGTACAAAAGGCACCGGGGTTCACTTCGCTCCTCCCTGTCCCACAGCCACAGCCCTGGCTGTCCCTGGCTGCAGGGCCCCACCCACCCATCTTGGCTGAGCTGAGGAGGGATCAGGGGACAGAAAGGAAGGGTCCTGGGGGAGTCTGTTCCATTCCCCACCCTCTTCTTCCAGAGAGGGAAACTGAGACCCAGAGGTGGGCTGGGCGGAGCAGGTGCCGGAGACACGCTGGGAAGAACCTAGATTCACAGCTGAGCCTGTGCCGCCCACCCCTTCTCCCGCAGGCATCTGCACACCAGCATCAGCTGAGGGCTGGGCCTTCAGGGCAGGGGTGGTTCTGTGTTGGGGACTCAGGTCGCAGCCTCGGCAGTGTGACAGCTGCCTTCCTGCTGCCCAGGCTCCACCTGGGCGCGGCCCCCGCACCATTAGTTTCGGATCTGAGCAACCACAGGCAGAGCCAAAGGCCAGGACAGAAAAGCAGGAAGGAGGCGGTGGTGGGGGCCCCCCAGGGCCCCGGGGAGGAAGGGCCAGGCCTGA